GCGTTTGTTATATTTCTTCGCGTGTGCACACACACACACACACACACACACACACACACACACGCGCGCGCGCGCGCGCGCGCGCGCGCGCGCATGCACACATATACACGCATATGCACTTATGCATCAATCACACAAATGTACGCAACACACACATAGTAATACGCGGTGTGAAAATATCCGGTGGGTTTCGGAGAAGTGCCGGGGAGGAATCGTTTGTGGTTTGATGATTTCGTGATAATGGAAGGGTTTTGTAATGGGGTAATCGTGGAAAAATATATCGAGCGTGTGGAGGGTCGATCGTGCGATCGTTGATGGCGCAAGTTTCATTATCGAGCTCGCCTTTCGAGAGAAACGCGTCGTTAAATCGCCTCCGTTACTCGCGGATCGGATGCGTAAAAGGAAAAAGAAAGATTCGTCGAACGAAAGAAATGATTTGATGATGGTCACGGGCTCTGTCACGGGCTCTTGCCATTGGTCACGGTACCGCGCGCGTTTCACCCTGTCGATCGTCCAGGCCGCACTTTACTTTCCTACCGTTTGAAAAGGTTGAACACCCCTGACTCACGCGAATTTTCTATTTGGCAGTTATATTTTATAATTCCGTCTCGGCTCCCTACGAGAGACCCTCAACAGATCGTAGCGTTAATTAATTAATTACGACTCGGTCGTAACGCGCGTGCGTGCGTGCGTGCGTGCGTGCGTGCATGCGCGCGCGCGCAAAGCGACTAACAATAATTATCGTTAATTATTATTCTCATTATTATAAGAAATATTATCGTTATTGTTACTATTATCGAAAGGCCGCAACAACGCTCTTCCGAGAACTGCGCGATCTCCTTTATCTCGTGACACCTTGTCGACTTGTCGCGCGTTCTTCCTCGCGAAATCGCATCGGTCGTCGAACGAAATCGATCCTGGTTGCTAGAGACAGTAGTCACAGCGATCATCGGACGATATCACGATCGATAAGAGCTCACGCAAGAAACGCAATTAGATTAGACTCGACAGCGCGTGCTTTCCCTCTCTTTCCCTATCGCCTGTACCTACCTTTGTCTACTCGATCTAGAGGCCTTACCCTCTAAATCTTCGTCCAGCTCGCATCGAGCTACCTACCGGTTCCGCACTAGAAACGTTAATTAAGTCACTTAAACGAAATAACGCAGCCGTAATGGAGCGTGAACGTCGGCGATCGGATCCTTGTTCCCTTTCTTTTCCTATTCTCTCCCCCATTGAATCCGAAAGAATTTCCCAGGCGTGTCCTCCGCAAAAGCTACGACGGCGTCCGCTGCTGCCGGAAGTCGATCCTTTTTTTTCCATGAACGTCGTCAGGTGGTCTCACTCTTGCTTGCCTCCCCAGTCGCTTAAGCATGTCGCGAGAAAGAACCGGGCCGCACGAACCGGTGGTGGTTCCCAGCGTGAGAAATCCAAGAACGCGTGCCCCTGTTCCCTCCCCGAGAGAGGCGAGTTGCGCGCAGAAGGGCGCGAAAGGGGCTAACGAGTCCGTCTCCTTTTTTTCCGCGCTTTTCCTGCTTTCACCCCTCGACGTGCTCCGTAGCCGCCTCCTCGAATCGTGCCGGACGTCGTTCCTGCGAAAGGGAGAGAAGAAAGCGCGAGTATAACGCGACATGTCTGACTATTGACTTTCGAGGAATTGACATTGAGTGAAGGATGAGAATGTGACGACTGATCGCTTTTTGCGAGCTTACTTTGCCATTAAGCCCGGCCGGCGCTTTTAGTTCCAGCGATTCTAAAGCTCGGGATATAAGCCCCCATTGAGATCTCTCTCTCTCCCTCCCTCTCTCTCTCTCCCTCTCTCTCTCTAATATATTCCGATAACTTTAAAATCTTCAACTATTAGAGAAACGTTGTGCAGTTAAGTTCGAGAAGATTAAGAGAAATATTGGAGAGTAATCAGGTCGGAAATTTTCTGGGTCAAAGCAAAAAAGCAAAGGAAATACAAGAATTAACTTATAATTTTTTTTTCCCCGGTGCGTTTTACGTAAAAAATGCGGGGAGAGGCGATGAACAAGAAAACTCATTAACATTTTAGCTTTCTCGGCTATAATTACGTAATTAAAACATAGAATTTCTCAACGTGGGTTATTATTTCATGAATATTAAAACTCCCGTAATTTAATAGATAGTTATATAAGCGAGTAATAAAAATTCTTTGTGCGCTAATCCGCATTCGGATCTCTCGCGAAGCTACCGCGTTATTCAAAGCCAATTTTCGATAATCAAGCGATGAGTGTCCGAGTGTACTTGAAATCATGTAATCGAATGGTTGTATATCCGGGTTAATGCATAAATAATTGCGCTCCGGAGTGCACTCCGGAGGCACCGGTCGGCAATTAGCGCGACGAAATTGCGAGATAGAGACATTCGCGTTGGCGCGATATTTTCAGCGCGCGCGACGGCCAATGAGCCGAGCTTGTTACACGGCGCTTGTTAACATTTCCACGTAGTATTAACTACGTTATGGTCATCTGGTCCATGTCATTCGCACGTAATGATCCGTCCCGCACGGTGTGAAATTTACATGCCGATTTCGTGTCTCGAGCGAACAACTAGCGCCAATGCGATCAAGGGAAATCGCGAATAAGCTATCGAAACTAATGTTCGTGGGGGAGAGGGGAATTGATGGTAGGAATGATAATTGTTTAATAAGACGTGTATCCTTACCGAATATTCCAGGAGGCGCTATCTTTGGCATATTTTATATATTTTTTCGGCTCGACCGGGGCAGTCTATTACTGGACGATTATGTGTGGCGCACGACATAGTATCACCACCGTAGCCAAAATCGTGAATAACGTGAAGATGATCAGGCAAAGCCTTGATTTCACAGAAAAAAAAATTTGCATGTTAGTTGCAAATCCATTGCTCCAGTAAATCAGATAAACAATCAAGACAGAGAATAATAAAATTCTATTCTATTGAAGAACAAAAAAATTTAACATTAAAAGGTATATACAGTAGACTCTCTTTTTTATCCAGTTCGGCTTTTCCGATCGAATTTTAATCGAGACTTTTTATTTCGAATTCGATTCGAATGTTACAATAGAAAATTGTTTTGTATAATACCTCGCTTGGACAACACTGTTATATAATTCCTCTCATTTCAAAATTACTGATTTTTTTATGCATGTAAGTGCGCAATAAACATTTATATGCAACGTGTATATCTTTTTATTTAATTTAAAAATTCCGTAAATTCCGGTATTTTTCAAATGTTTTTGGCTCGACCGATCATTTATTTATCTGGCATAGATTATTCAGTCCCACAATGTAGTTTCACAAGAGTCTTCTGTACATGCATTAACGTAACTGAAATATTAATTAATATTCAGTAACTTAAATATAAATGAATATTAATTGCGATTGATATTATTCAGTAAACAAATTCTGTATTATAGTTTAATTTATTGAACGAGTCAATTTTCGCTGATTGAATTCAAGTGAAGTCCAAGTAAATGAGATTATCGAGTAGGAGAGTTTTGTATAACTGAACCGAGCAAGTTCTGAACAATCGCGTAATGGATTCGTCCGAAATCGGCGAACCGGCGGATAAATGGCGGACGAGTTTTTCTCGTGTAAAAAACGAGGATCATGTAAAAAACGAGAATCTCCGGGGCTCCGTTGTAAAAGCTATCTCTTTGTCCGTGATTTTTCGCGAGTGAGGCGCCGGGCTGCGCGCACGACTGAAACCACATGAAAGATTTCAAATATCCAACCTGTCGACCACCATGGCGGCGAACTTCCAGTCGCTAATGACCTCGTCGTCCTCGTCCGCCTTTTTCATGCGGCTCGTGATGAACTGTAATTCTTTGAGGATCGTGTGAAGTTCCTTCTGCATGCCGCTGAGAGGCAACGATGCGGAAGTCTCCTCGACCGTCGCCGGCCTGGTCGACAGCGGTGTACCATACGCCGACCTGCTGTAAAGGAACGTGTAAATTATTACTCTCGAAGGTGTCTTACATCCTCGCTCAAGACCGACAAGACGGTCGACAGATATTCTGTCGGAGCTTGTGAAATTTTGATTTTCCTCTCTCTTCAAAGCGTCACGAAACGCCTGTTAGAATTATTGTTTCTCTCTCTCTCT